TGGGTATAGACCACTCTGTGGAGATGAACTTTGCTCTCCTAAGACCAAGTGACCCATTGAGTAGAAAAGACTACCAGTGACACCTGCGTTTAGGCTAGACAAAATATTGTAATTATTTGAAATATGAGACATGTGGGCCATAAAATTTTGCTGTTTAGCTGTTGTTAGGTTTATGTTGAATATATTTTTCTGATTGTTCTATTTTAGTTCAGTTTTTCCCAACCTAGCCCAACATGCAGGTAGGTAGCAGATGCCTTTCTGCATCGTACGTGCTTAGTGGCAAATCTTGGTATAAGCTGCATATCGAAGTGGCAAGAACAGTGTTAACTTCTTCTTGATGGAGTGCCAAAAAGTGTTCTGCATCAGCATTTCACGGTCCAGCATTTCCAACATCGTTTTTTTTCCCCGTGTGCGAGATTTGGGCAGATTGTTATGCAAAGCAGTTTTGTGCCTCAGTGTGACTGGGGAGACAGCTGCTCGGCCTAATGAGGAGTGCGAGCGCTGCCGTCTCGCCGCTGATTGAGACCCACGGAGGGAGCAGGATGTTCCAGATCGGGCACTGGTGTGTGGTGAGCGAGCGCCGCGCTGTCAGCTGGAAGCGCTCGCTCCGCTGCTCCCCGCGACAAGATAAATGAGTTTTACTGGCTCCGCCGGAGTCTGAAGCTTTTCGGGAGGATGGGAGTAGCACACCAAGCTTTTTTCTTCAGCTGCAGTTTAAAGTGCAGTTTAAAGTGTCATAAGACTGCTTCCTCTTTGCCAGATTTTTTTTATGTCCTACAATACCTGTCATCTTTTTGAGTTATTAAAAACCTAATGCCTTCTAGCATTCCATTAACACAGGGTCTGATGATCTTTTGTTGACACTGATTAATTTAGCCAAGGGGGTGTTAACTACTGTTTTAGCTTGTCTAGGACAGATTGAAGACTAGTATCAACAGAAAATAAAAAGAGTAAAAAGTCTTTTAATTTTTGTGGTGGAGTTAGGAAGGGAATATTTTTGAAAGATTATTTGTATATTGGCTGCTCTGCCAAATTTTCTCTCCCTTCTTCCTTCAGTTGGGCTGAGATCCTGCTTTAGTTTCTGAGTTGGAGGTGGTTTTGCTTTGTGTTGCCGTTTTCTCTTGATTTAAAAAAAAAAAAAAAAAGAAGTTATAGAACTTGGTGAGGTTCCTTTCTCCCACCTTGAGAGAAGTCTTAAATTGGAATAGCACAGGAGGCCAAATATGACTTGTAATGTGTAAGAAAAGGGATGATTTGCTCACATTTTTTTTTTAAACCAGTGATGGTCATTGCACACATCCTTGAACTTACTTAAGTATGTGTATGTATCTGTTTATTTAAAAATCAGCTGAGTGTGTTCCACAAAATTTTTTTTGGTCACATGAGCGTGCAGTTAGTGCAAATTCTAGACTGCAGAACCTTACAATTGTGAACTGTAGAGGCAGTAGGCAGCCAGTAGGACTAAAAAGCTTCTTTTAAAGATGTCACTGAAAAGGGCCTAACAGTCTTACTTCTGGCTTGCTATCATTTGTCCAGTTGTATTAATAAACTTTTTCTTAATTTACCAAGTAATATCAAAATTCATAACTAATTGAAAATAAATACAGTGAAGGAAATACTTTTCTTTTGAAAATCTGTCTGTTATAAACAGGAGCAGGAGGGGTTGAATTGGCATTCTGTTTGCACAGCAGTACTTTTGAATATTTTCATTCAAAATATGATAAATTGAAGAATGAAAGAATTTTATGTGGTCAGAGAATTGTAACTATGTTTGACAGTGACAAGTGATAAAGAGGAACCAGAATGAGATGAAATCAGTTTTAAATTTGGGTCAAAGTTGTGAGGGGAAAAAAGAGCATTTGAACTTCAAGGATTATTTTGAGACAGTTTCATAATATATTACAGCTGTAATTGGAATAAAATATATGATGGAAAGACAAATCAGATCTTTATGTTAGTAGCAGAATGCTAAAGTCCTATGTATTGATTTCTCTTTTTTCTCTGTCTTGGATTCCTTCTGCTGAAGTGCCCAGGGAAGCCTCACTGTGTGTGTTTAAAATTGGCTATTAAATCCCTATATATTTTAAACTTCTGGAGAGTGTTATTTCGAATGTTGGATCATTACTGAGTTCTGTACAAGTCAGAAAGTTAAATTTAAGTTGTGTTTTTGTCGGTATTGTCACCGGTAATATTAGACACATCTATTTTGTAAACTGTTTTCTTGAAGTACAAGCAGAATTTAACTTAAATTTGGAAACCTCTCTTTCAAATGGATATAAGTTTAGCACAAAGTTGGTGTTCTTGAGTCTTCCAGTCCAGAAGAAAGAGGAGGTGTGAAAGAGATGTACTAGCATAGACATGGTAAAACTGACAGATTACCAAATTTCTGCTGTGTTTAGAGTTCATAATGCTTTCGTTGTCTTGTTAATGTTCAGTCCTTCTTTATACTGCATTTTAATACTGAGTTTGGGAACAACTACAGTATACTCTTTTCCCTTTCCCTTTTGGGAATTGAGAGTTTGCATGCAAGGAATTTGCTTGGAAATTCCAGTTTAAGTATTTTACTGAGGTATTTTGCAACCTGGATAAAGAACTAGCGGAGAGTTGCAGTTGTTAGTAAGTTTTATGGAGGGCAGTTGGGTGGAAGACAAGTGCTCCTGGAAGGTGCCAAGTGAAGTGATAGAGCTAGCCAAATATTCAGGTGCCTAATGAGAGAGTCATCAGTTGTGGCGTTCATGGTAGATTTTAACTTTTTGGCTTTAGATTCATAAAGTTGAGATTAGGCAAAGACCTTTGGTTCACATTATAATCATCTCCCTGGTGGCTAAACTGTGCTCTAATAAAGCATTAGGAAACTTGGTATCATGAATGAAGTGGACCTTCATCCTAATTAAAACTTAATTTGGTGTCAGTTTAAATTAAGAGGGTTGCATAAAATGGTCCATTGTGACCTGGCTAGTGCTAATCTCAATCAGCAGCTTGGAGAGGACATGAATTCAAATTTTTGCAAACAACCAAAATGACAGTAACAACTGACAACTTAAATTAGAATTACTAAATTCTAAGAAATTGATGTGCATGACTCAAGTTACAACATGGGTCATTAAATCAAATCTGCAGAAACAGAGGTGAAAAGCCTTTTTAATGATCCTTGGGAGAGATGAAGATGTTTTGTTAGAACATCACGTATGCAGAAAACAAGAGGTTTTTTTTTTTTTTTTTTTTAATTGAGAGCTTATGTGTTACTAAAGCAAGCATAGTACAGAAACTTTAATGGCTTAATATGAAACAATGCTTAAAATGTAAAAATGGGTTTAGGAAAACCTTGTCTCTTCATCATGAGAGTTATTCAATCACATTGAACGCTGTACTATTCCTGTAACAAAATTCTTTGATTAATCTTTCCAGAGAGTAGCATCTTGCACTTAAAATCACCAGGAAGTTTCTTGGGAGACTCTCTCGCTAGTTATGCTACCTGATAGGACAACTTGCAGATTTTCTTGTCTGGCTCTTAGGCTTCAGATACCCGTAGAATAAGAATGTTAGAAATGAGTAGACTGAGAGTTACTGCTAGATGAGTTGTGCTTGCAACTCTGGCTAAGTGTCTGGCTGCGTGCACGTTTAGCGTGTTATTCAAAAGAGAAATAAGTTTACCTCAAGTTATGGAAAAATTTTGGATCTCTCCTGTGTCTGCGTGGTGAGTAATATAAACGCCAGAGGTAACTTTAAAAAAAAAAAAAAAAAAAAGTATTTGGAAAATCTTTATTGACAATGTGGATGAGGGGATTGAGGGCACCCTCAGCAAATTTGCAGATGACACCAAGCTGGGAGAAAGAGTAGATCTGTGTGAGGGTAGGAAGGCTCTGCAGGGGGATCTGGACAGGCTGGATCGATGGGCTGAGACCAACTGTCCAAGGTTCAACAAGGCCAAGTGATGGGTCCTGCACTTGGGTCACAACAACCCTGTGCAGCGCTACAGACTTAGGGCAGAGCGGCTGGAATGCTGTGTGACAGAAAAGGACCGGGGACATTGGTCGACAGGCGGCTGAACATGAGGCAGCAGTGGCCCAGGTGGCCAAGAAGACCAACAGCAGCCTGGGGTGCATCAGGAACAGTGTAGCCAGTGGGACCAGGGCAGTGATCGTCCCCCTGTGCTTGGCACTGGTGAGGCAGCACCTCGAATGCTGTGCTCAGTTTTGGGCCCCTCACTGCAAGAAGAGAATTGAGGTGCTGGAGCGTGTCCAGAGAAGGGCAATGAAGCTGGGGAAGGGACTGGAGCACAGACCTTATGAGGAGCAGCCGAGGAAGCTGGGTTATTTGGTCTGGAGAAGAGGAGGCTCAGGGGAGACCTTATGGCTCTCTACAACTACCTGAAAGGAGGCTGTAGTGAGGAGGAGGTTGGTCTTTTCTCCAGATTAACTAGGACCACTGGGACAAGAGAAAATGGCCTCAAGTTGCCAGGTTAGACGTTAGGAAGAATTTCCACATGGAAATTGTTGATCTTGATTGATCTTGTTGATCTTGAAGTTCTTTTCCAACCATTTTGATTCTGTGGAAATTCTAGGATTCTAGATTATAGATATCAAAAGACAGGAGGAGGAAAATTTTACCATTTACTACTGATTCCATTTTGATTTCCTGAATAGCTTACTGAGCATTACTGTGTAAGTGAACTAAAGTCTTGGAACTGAACTATGAAAGTTTGTCCTAATAAGACCTATTAGAATATTATATTTAGTTCATGTTAAGGCAAATAGAATGTGAGATGTGTCTCCAGAGTGACTTTTTCCTGATGGGCTTTTTTCTTAGTGCTTTGACCAGTCTAGCTCTGTAGTCCTTAAGGGACAGGCTTCTTGGAAGAATATATTATATTCTAAAATCCTCACTTGATAATTTAATGTTTCAAGATACTTTTTTTTTTTTTTAAATAATGTAAGCTAAACATTTTAAAGGGAATACAGAAACAGAACTTGAAGTTGGATGCCAATTTAATGAAGATTTTTAGAGCTTGACCTTGTTTTTCTTCCCAAATGTTTAGCACTGTGACATCTGCAGTTTTCACCGTGGGAGACAATGTTGTTTCTGGAAGCGATGACCGTACTGTAAAAGTTTGGGACTTGAAAAACATGAGGTCTCCTATTGCAACTATCCGTACAGACTCGGCAGTCAACAGGTAAGCAGGCTTCTGAGTTGCTGTTTTCTAGTCTTAATTCATTGAATAGAAATTTAATTTGGTGACTAAGGTTATACAGTTAAATTTATTAGGTTTTTGAAAAGCTCTGAATTTGTTTCATAAAATACACATCTAATGCAATTTAATAGATGCATCGTATTGCTTTTCTGAGACTTGTGTATGTGGTACAAAGGTTAAACCAGTTTGAGCATCTGGTACTACAGATTTTAAATACTTAATTTTGCTTGCAAAAATTACCAAGAAAAAAAAAATCTACAGCACTTAACTAGTACTGTCAAAAGCTCTTTGCCAGACCCGCTGTTTTGTGCATAACCTGCTTTTGTCTCTTCTCTCCAGGATTAACGTATGTGTTGGCCAAAGAATCATTGCCCTTCCGCACGACAACCGCCAGGTTAGACTGTTCGACATGTCCGGAGTGCGGTTAGCGCGCCTCCCCCGCAGCAACAGACAGGTAATGGGCATTCTGTTCCCCTGCAGCGTGTCTGTTCCTCTCTCTCATACAAGGTTAAACTGGGGTTTAAGCTGTGGTTGAAAAGCTGAAAAATGCTGGAAGAAGCTTGTCTGGAGAAATGGCTGAATGTAGCTTTGCAAATTACTGAAAATGACCAACATGCAAATAAGTGACATCGTTTTGGATCTTTCTTAATTGAAATCAGAATGGTGGTTTCAGTTAACTGGATCTCGTCATATTTTTTCTCCTTGAAAAAGTGATACTCATGTTTGCAGAAAAAAATGTTTAAGAACCTTCAGAATGTGTTTTGATGTTTTGATGTAAATCTTGTCAGGAAAGTAACGTGCCGGGATTTTATATTTGTTTTGGCCCATTTAATTTTATTTATAAAGAGATTAAAAAAAAAAAAAAAAGGTGAGTTTTCAAGCTCACCTTCACATGATGTTGTAATAGATTCCGCTCCCCTTCTCCATGCTTACACAAATAAATATTTAGCATTTAGGACTACGTCCCAGATCACCGCTCCTTTTCATGTTAAAGATTTGCACATTTGTGGTGCTACTTTGCGTATTGAAAAAACACTAAGGGAATGAATTAGAATAAGTGAAGTCAATTGGATAATGGTGTCACTTAGGTGTGTGTGTCGTTGTGGGTGAGGGTTTTGTATTTTTTTCCTCTTTATTATGCTTCTCTGCACTTTTTTATGCCCTGCTTTTCCTCAGTAATGGGATAATCCTTTGGCTGCATTACTATTCTTTCGGTATTATGAATATAGTGAACAAAGAAATCAACACTTCATCCTGCAAGCAAAATAGATGCCAGAGAGTAGTGCTGTATTTTAAGACTGCTTCTGTAAATGAAAGTGCTAAAATCAAAATTCAGCAGATGTGTAAGCAAAATGGTAAATAATGGGCATAACTGGAAAAACTTTAAAATTTTGATAAGCTTGTTGGATACTTCTGTGATTATGGACCTAGTGCTGATACTAATGAATATTTTAGTCATAAAGATCTTTCTTCGTAGGTGAAACTAAGATGTTTAGGATTTCGAAGTACCATTTGTAAAAAAAAAAAAAAAAAAAAAAAAAAAAAACCTTGATCATTAGTAAATGTAAAATTTATTTGAAATAGGTGTCAAGCCTTAGCAAAATATAAATAATATAAATTGTCAGTATGTAATAAAGAAAGGAAGTCTGCAGTTCATGTTAATTTATTGACATAAAGCATTTTGAAAATACACCTGAAGTAATCCTAGTATCTCCCAAACTGTTCCAGGGCCACAGAAGAATGGTGTGCTGCTCCGCGTGGAGTGAGGACCATCCAATATGCAACCTGTTTACGTGTGGGTTTGATCGTCAGGCTATTGGCTGGAACATCAACATCCCTGCTTTGTTACAAGAAAAATGAAATGCTGGAAGTATTTTTGCATTTTATGTTGCCATGGACTTTTCCACTTCTGCAGACTTTTTCGAATACTGGTCTGCTCTGGCTGTAAAAGCTCATCCTTAAATGGAGAGTTTAGCAAATGTTCCTGTTACCACATTGTGCACAGTTTGCATGAATTGTACAGAAAATGTGATTTTTTTTAATAGTTTGTCTTGTGTATGAACTTTTATATTTTGGCATCCACTGGTCAATATGTTCACTGTTGCATAGAGCACATAAATGTTCATAAGTTATTTAGCATTTATTAGATAAACAGTAGGGCATTAAATTTGTGACCTAAATGTGAAAGTTACGTAGTTACTGTAGAGATTATATAGCAGTCTGTTACGTTTTTCCATGACTCTACATATCTGCCTTGTGTTAAAAAGAATCTGCAGGGCTAAAACTTTGAAATGAAGTGTGATTTTCGTTAATTGTATGATTGTAAACATTTTTCTGTTTGCATATATTTGGAATTTTTTTTTTGTGCTGCAGTATTGAGCAACTTAACTCCATTTTTATTCTAGTTACTGGAGAAATACTAGATTTGAGAAGGAAAATACAAGCAACTTGTAATGAGTATAGAATGCCACATTAATTCAGGATTTTTTTTTTTACTTTTGAAAGTGAAAAATATTAATTCTGCCCTTCTTATATAAAGCCGATTCTAATCTCATGGCATTTCACACTAGCAAAAATTCAGACTATCATATCTCTTATCACTGAAATTGTCAAGCAAATTTTGAAGCACTTTAGTTTATAGCTATTGTTATAAACCATTTATGAAAGTTTGACTTTAGCAGTGAATGTGAGTTGACCTTTAAAAGAAGGATTTGCTTCTTTATGGTAATCTACCAAGAAATGAAATCATGTTTTTTTTTTTTTTTCTGTTTTTGTTTGTTTTTATATACTTACAGTGAGCATATTTTAAACTGTGCTTACTTCCCTAATTTTTATTTTGAGCCAGCAATACAAAGGAAATGAGTACTACCTCAAAAATGAATGTTAGTCAAGATGCATTGAATCTCTATAGCCTAGAAAGAAAGCACTTTTGGTCTCTGGCAGAAGTACTGTCTCTAACATGAGAGGAAAGACAATCATACTAAATGTGATCTTTAAGATAATTAACACTTAAAGCTAATGGAGCAATACGATAAGTAAACATCATCTGTCACCTTTGTGTTCCCAGCCGTGGCTAGGGCTGCTGCAGTCCCTGTTCTATACCAAAATGGGATAATTACGTAGGTTTCCCTTCTTTCCCCCAAATGATATTACTCTGGTTTTGCTCCTGACTGTGTTTTACTCTGTTTTGCACTGGCAGCAGGGTGTTATACCACAGCTGTTGATTGTATAAATGCAAATGGCAGCTGACATCTCCTGCAGGAACAGGAAGGCTGCTTCAGACAGACACCTCCTTTTACCCAAAGGGAGATACTGCCCTAGCTGTCTGACGTATCACAGGATAAGGTGAAGGGTTAGAGTAGTCCGGGGGTGTGCTCTAATAATAGGATTCATAGAGTTTAAAGTGGGTTACCATAAGATAAAAAGTATTATGGACTTGTAATCACATTCTTGCTGTGTGAAGCTACAGTTGTGCTCGGGTCCTCTGCAGCAGTGCTCATAGTGGCAGTGAGGCTGGTGTGTGAACTGGTCCTCCGAGTGACTAATGTGTAAAGGTAAGGAGTGGAATGGGAGAGTGAATGCATCACTGAGTAATTGCGGGGCAAATGGGGGCCCAGAAGTGTTTTGGAGCATAACGCTTGAGAAAGATGAGAGGACCAAGGAATTTAACAGAGAGCGTATGTGGAATCTTCATAGCACAGTGTGATCTTAAATCCCTTTTTTGTTTTGTTTTTTGAGGCAAAAGACAGATTAAAAAAAAAATAGTGTTTCAAAGTTTCAGTACCAAAATTAGCGCGGTTGGGGAAGGCAGCTACAGACTCGACTCTGGTTATCAGAATACTTAAAGGTTGCTGTTAAAGTTTATTTTCACCTTTTTTCACTCTTTTTTTTTTTTTTTACAAAATGGTTAGAAACCGTTTAATGTTGGGTTGCAGGTTTTATTCTTTAGGAAGAAAAAGGCTCACTTTTAGTATTTGAAAGAGAACTTAGCACAGGTTGTTGCTGTTTAAAAATGAAAGAAGTGTCTTCAGCCAGTAGAAGCGGTTTCTCCAGGGTGGCCTGTGCCCTGTATCTTGAGGAAAGATCAACCCTTGGCTATCTGAGGTGGGGAAAGGGTCGCTGGTTTTGGTCCTGCTATGCTAAATTGTTGGGCTGCCCAAGTATCTGTGTCACACAGGACCACTAGACTCGGTGCAGTTTAATCATTATTTGCTACAGACCTCATATCACCAGAGGGACCAACCTCTGGCACCAGAAATGGCTTTCACATTGCCGGGGAGGGGGGAAAAAAATCAATGAAGGTGCTAGAGCCGTGTTCTTATGAGCAGGCTAATACTTAATCAGCTAAATACTAAAGTATCTCTTAGCTTAACTTTATAGACAGTACGGAAGTTTGAACTGAGGCCATCATTCCCCTTGAGGCAGATCACACGTGGGCTGTGATAGCGGGCAACATTACATTGACTAAACGCGTGGACAACATTTCATGGCTTCGAATGCTCTAGAGAGCTCTTCAGCACTGAACAGCGTCCAACATTTCATAAAATGGAGGAGAGTTGCGGTTGCAATTTCAGTATTGTTGCAGAATTTCACGGAAAATTCATCGCTGGGCAAAATCAAGTTTTTATGTCTTTTTCTCTCAAGCAATGCACATCAGTTTTCACAAATTTTGTATATACGTTAAAATCAGAAAAATCTGGAGTGAGACATCTTGTGTGTTGCCTAAATCTGTGAACAACAACTTTTTGGAAAAGAATTTATAAGTTATGTGGAACCACTTTTTATTATTCTGCTAATTTGTTTTTAGATGTAAAATGTTTTTCTTCATTATGATTCAAAATGCATTAAAACGGTCAAAAAAAAATTTGCAAGTTGTGGTTATTCTGTGTTGCATTAGGATTGCTGATAGTCTTTGTTTTTCAGCTTCTTAATAGTCAAATTATCTGCCTATCCATTTTCCACTCTTCAAAAAGTTTGTTTGCAACTTTTGGAAACAAAGCGATGGGCACAGTTCTCTTGGAAGAGGGCTAAGTCTGTGACTTTCGTGGTGCAGCTGCTCCTCCTGACTGGTAAGTACATGAACCAAGAGGTACAGACCTGCATTTATAGTCATATTCTCCAGTTTATACCAGTAATTTTGTAATTACATTTTATTATGCAGATTATGCAAAAGTCTCTGTATGACCTTCCATATTATTATATAAATTGATTGTTCCTAATGATGTCTAAGCCGTAGATATTATACAATGTGTATGTTTAGAATACTCTAAAAATGTTCTCCCCAAAACCCTAAGAGTTTTGCATAACTTTGCTTGTGGGGCCAGCAATTAATCCCACTGCTCTACATATCCCATGTTTTCCATGTACTTAGTTAGGGATCCTTTAATGCCACATTTCTGGCCTTTTAAGAGCCAGTGCTCTGGAAAATTATTGTTATTTAGTGTCTCTGGTGGTATAGCTTAGAAATCAAAGACCAAAGCTGTAAAGTGATAAAAGTAAATTGGGGATTAGATTGAAACAAACCCCCCAACCTTTTGTTTTTTAATCTCTTTATATGGCATTTAAATGAAGTGCGGGCTTCTGCAGTTGGCTTAAACGTGTGGTACTTGTGACATCTTTGAATTGTCTAATGGCATAAGTTTCATGTATTTAAGAAAGGCTCTTATTAAATAATCTGTTAAATACTAAAATGTTAAAATCCCCTCTAATATTAATATATGTGCTGAGGCCTACTTTTTAAAACTGTGAATCTATAACTTGCAAAAATAAGTGATTTCACCAGCATGTCTGTGCTCTGATTTCGAGAAGAGCTGCAGAGGAGTCTGCTCTGCCGTCACCGCGTGCTCTTTGGGCCACTGTGGAGTTTGTATTAAATGCTCCACTGCGACCAAAGTATGTCACTGAAAAATTACTCAGCCTTGTGATATTTTAAGTAGCGATGTTACCTTTTCTGATTCTCACTCGTCACAGTTTTCAGAGTGTAAGTAATTTGCAGGATTTTACAGCAGAAATCCCATTTAATTCAGACCGTAAATCCTGGTCAAAATGTGCCAGTGACTGGGAAATTTGTCGTACTGGCGAAGTGTATTTGCAAATGGGTCATAGACATTGCTTGTCAGTGCCCTCTTAGGAAAAACGTTAATATTTTTCAGGATGGCTGTACTGGAGTACGAGGCTGGTGAGTATTGTGAGTATTTGCAGCCCCAAACCACAGTGCTCGTCGCAGCAGTTTCCTTCCTAGGTAGATGGTTCCAGGTTCTGTGCAAAGGCCGCAATCGGAGCCTTAAGAGTTCCGCAAAGTGGGTGAGTATTGTGAGTATTTGCAGCCCCCAAACCACAGTGCTCGTTGCAGCAGTTTCCTTCCTAGGTAGATTTTCTGAAGGATGGTTCCAGGTTCTGTGCAAAGGCTGCAATCGAAACCTTAAGAGTTCTGCAAAATAGGAATGGTGTAAAGTGTCCATGAGGGCATGTAGAATAGAATTGAAGAGAGCTAGCAAGTAAATAAAATGTATAGATTATGTGAGCGTGATGCTGCTGTTCAATAAGGCTTCAGTTCTAGGGAGGATGAAACTTCATGTTTTTGATTTATTGAGATGTCAAAAATTGCGCTATATATATGCTCCTACCGATATAAACATATCAGTTTAGATAAATATATTTTGTGCCCTCAGAAATCATTAATCAGTGAAAACGGGATTAAATAACTAGTGAGCTTCATCAAATTAAAACACATAGGTATTTTTAATATATTTTTCATACTCTGTAAGTGTTAAGTGTGGATAAAACCTGAATTCTCCTGTTAATTTTTAGACCTTATCTTTGCTATTTGGCTGAGACTATCTGTATGTAGATGCAAAATTGAAGCAAAGTATTTTAATGGAACAGTGTGTCCTCTGAGCCTGTGTTTGCTGAGTGCACGGTAAAGCCAGCAACCCTGCAAAGAAGAAAAACAACCCTGAAACAGTAGCGGTAAACAATGCTGGAATGAAGGTGACAGTTTGATAAAAATTTGAAGTACAGGGTTAAAACAGCAGGCAGA